AGTTCCAATATGACTTCTTGGAACGGAGAGTAATATATTTGTTTGGCAGACATCTATAGATCTACTGCTACACTGTACCTGTTATATGGCTGGAGATGTTTCCGAAGCAGTTTAGGTGTCTTAACTGCCACGCCACCTAGTGCCCACCTTGAGAGTGTGTGCCCCCCCCCCCCCTCCCAGCCTATCACTGCAGGTGTGTGGATCCCTGGCTGACCCAGACCAAGAAGACCTGTCCCGTGTGCAAGCAACGCGTCATCCAGCCAGACACGGAGTCCGAGGAGGAGGACGAGGAGGAGGAGGGCAGGGGGGCCAGGGAGGAGGCCGACACGGAGCGCACGCCCCTGCTGCGGCCCTCCCGGCCCGGCTCGCCCTCCTCCAGCGACGGCCCGGGGGTGTACTCCTCCACCGCGGAGTGCTCAGGGCCCGGGCTCTGCTCCGACTCACCCCTGCTCGCCCACGAGGGGTACTACTCTCCGGAGGAGGGGGACTCTGATGACGAGGAGGAGGAGGAAGATGAGGCCAGTCTCAGCGAGGGGGAGACCGCCCGCCTCCTCGGCAGGGGGGAGGTGCAGCTGTGAGAGAAAATGCAGCAATGTTTGTCTTTCCTCTCTTTTGGCCTTTTGTCCTTGTTATTTTTGTCCCAGTCAAAGGAGACGAGGTTTTCATCACCACTGCGCGCCCCCCCCCCCGACCTGTCTGTACTCGTACCCGTCTGCTGGGTACGTTTTTCCCACGACGCTGATGAGTAACATCCCTTAACAGTAATCACTGCCCATAGACGGGGGCAGGTGCTGCACAAACCCTGAAATATAATGTTGCAGGCGTCCATTTTTTTTTTTAAAGGTATTAATTAACAAGCTGGTTACATTTATCTTCTGGTTTAATATTGAGATTTTCGTACAAATTTTGGTGTTTAGCATTTTTCCCCTTCCCGGTTTCAAAAAAGCAACAAAAAAAAATCCACTTTCATGTTGTACTGGTGTAGTGGACCAATATTTTTATTTGTATATATATATTTTGATTACAGCGTCTTTCCTGTTGTCTTAAGCCTCAGTATCATATGTATCACTACTAACGTTGTAGTTTAGTCGGCTGATTGTCAAGCCGTCATTTTGCTCTTTGATTTGGAAGCGGACAGATGGACAGAAAGCGGTGCATGGAAATGACTTGTGTCAATGAAGCGTGGGCGGACGCCTCCGCGCGATTCCGGTTTTTCAGGGTTTCAGATACGGCCGATAGTCCTTTGACTGGCCACGAAAGCAGCAATATCGTGTTTTATTTTGTAAAATGGGGGGGGGGGGGTTCTCCTTTGTTCTCCTCGGTAACCACATGAAAAGAAGGTTCTGGAATGGAATTCAGGGGCTGCGGGGAATATGGAAGTGCTGTTTGTAGAGAGGGGGAGGGGGCTTTACAGTGACTATCCGATGAGTTTAGTGTTCGGCTGGCCGGGTGCCGACCGATTACCGGGCCACTAGCTGGCCGGTGACGGAGCCGTGTGACGCCGGTTTTATCAGGGATAGTCTCCGTGTGATGGACTCCTCTGCTTTTAGCCCCTCCGCCTTTGTAACTCCCCAGTCATGGTGGGACATTTTAGGTCCGCAGAACTTTGCCGCTGTGAGCCGTTTTTTTTCCCTAAACTGTTTAGGCGAGCAGAATATCACTGAAACACTAATCACGATTCTGTTTTATTTCCCACTACTGCTTTTGCAATGAATTTCCAGACATTTTTGCTCTTTATCTTTAAAAAGTTAAGTTGATTTTTTTGAGAGAAACATATAAAAGGAGATTATTATCATTATAAATGTCCTGGGTTGTATTATGGGGGGGGGTAACCCAGTGCAACTCGGACCCGTGCACTGGGTCTGCTGCACACTGCATTCACTGCACAGTTCTCTATGTATGCAACTATTACTGTAAAACTGACTCTCTTCTTCTTAACATTGTTTTCATACAGCTGTACAGATTTTGAATAACATGAACATTAAATGTGTAAGTCAAACTACAGTTGCTGCTTTTGTTACCTTGCAGTATCGCTGACATTTTCCCAACCTGATTATTATGAAGTCAACATTTTAACAAAGATTTAGAAGATCTATTAATTCTGCATACCAAATGAAATGCTACCTGTATCGATGCTGATTATTAAAAAAAAACACTGACAGACTTAACAGTAATGAAATTGATGTTTATGCAAATGCCACTATCTATTCAAATTAAATGTTATTTATTTTGAGAATCATCCCATCAAATAAAATTCCGGGACTTGTACAATGATTTTATTAATGGTAGATAAAAATCTGAGGAGGATTGTTATGTTTGAAGAAATAACCACAGCACACTTATACTTTACATACTGAGAATGTGTACCTTTTCTAAACTGTACTCTTACATCTGTTATATTTTATAATTTAGTTTGTGCCATAAAAAAAAAACAATTTCAGTATTTTGTTGTCTGACTTTTTTTTGTCTGTATCTATGTTGAACAAGATTTTTTTTTTTTTTGGGGCATGGTTTACAAATAATTGGTTACAATGCAGCCAAAATCAAATCACAATCACAAAAGACCTTGCAGCCTTGTGTAGAGAGGATTTAATGCTGTTTCGATGTGGGGCACAGAGGTACACTATAGAAGGCAACCATGTGTCAGGGTGCATCTCCTGCAGCACGCCGTCATGGTGGGGGTAGGACTAATGAGGAATGTGTGCTATGTCTTTCTTTCACAATGTGTGTCCTTGTGCCGATCCTCCTGCCAAAGGCCGTAGCTCGAGTTCCCCAGGAAAAGCACGGCTCCCAGAGTGCTACTGGAAGAACTACCTCATTAGCATACTTTATTCAGTATATATGTCTCAAGATCTTTATGCAGTTGGAGCAGTTCAGCTTAAATATCTTTCTCTAAGGCAGTGTTTCCTAATCCGGTCCTCAGGGAACCCACAGCCGGTCCACATTTTTGCTCCCTCCCAGCTTCCTAGGGAGCAAACACATGAACTGTCTGAGGGTCTCTGTGAACCGGATCTGGAAAAGCTGCTCTAGGACAATGCAGTGGGGTTCATCCCTCCCTCGAGACCTGATACACCTTCACATTCATGCTGCATACTGCCCTCAATCGCTGATCCCCGTCCAGCTGTTGTTTGAGGAGCAGCACCGTTGCCTTCGGTCCAGTGAGCACAGTCATGTGTTCTTTCAGCCCATGAATGAATGCGCATCATTCTAGGGTGTTGTCCTCCTTAGCAACAATTGTCAAGGTAATTTACATTCTCAGGTTGCTTAATATGTGCCACTATCCCAAGTAACGTGGATCTCATTTAACTTATGACTTGCCTCGCCAAGAGCTTGCTGAAGGTGACTGCAAGATCCTTACCTAAGACTTTTACTAGCAATATTTTTGTCCTGGTTCTATGTTTTTGAATTGCTGCCCAGTTCACCATTTCCACCTCCATTCTTTGAACTGTTTTTCCTTTCACCCAGAGGCTCTCATAACACATCCTTGAATGGGAGGAGTGGCTGAGGGTGTGAGGCCCTGTTCACTCATCTACACGCAACGGCATGTACTTCATCGTTCCCGTTCTGACGTGCAAGCTGCAGCGTTTGAGTGTATAGACCGAGTTTCCCTCCAGAGTGTACCTTCCTGACGGGACCGGACTCTCGCTGAAAAAGAACGGGCGAATAGGGCGTCGTGAGGAAAAGTGTTTGTGTGTGTATGTGTGAGAAAGAAGGAGTGGAGTTCTAATCCTTGACATGGAAATAACGGGGGGGGGGGAATGCACAGTGATGTCTGATGCATTCTTCTAACAATATCCAAGACTTTTGCGAAGGGCCACATCTTAGAGCCCTGAACTTAAGTGGCATGAGTGCAACAAGTAGTGTAAGTAAGTTAAGAGGGGAGTGTAGATGATTGACGTAGACCTAGGTGTCTGGCTTTCTAATAATTGTCTCCACAGCCTTTTGCTGGGACAAAATGGTCTTGAAGATTAAAAAGCATTGTATCGTTTTGCCTGCTGACAAATTAGTCCCGCCAGCATGAACAAAACTCGTCCGTCAGGATTCAACAGAAATGCCTCCTAAAATCAATGACATTCTTTTCAGTCCGATTACGTTTCTATCCAAGGCTATAGTATCGCAGATAGCCATCTCATTGCCGATAGTGCGGGCACAGCCGTAATAAAAGCATAACATTTTTTTATTGAGCCCAGTGCCGGTGGATCGATCGTTTCATTTCCCGAGTGTGTGGTCCCCTTCCTCTTTCTCGCCTGTTATGAGCAGCCCAGCCCACTACTAGTTAATATCTTACTCCTTGTAATCAGAGGCGCAGCGACAGGACAGGCAGGGCAGGCAATGACCTGGGTCCCCAACCTGGGAGGGAGCCCCCCCCCCGAGGGCGGCCAATTGCAAATCTGCTTTATTTGTATATTCTGTTTTTCACAAAAGTGAAAACAAAGATATTGTGTCTATTACAGTCTCTTTGTTCATATTATTAATTTTCACATAACAGTTATATGAAGGTAATAAATGTTACCATGCTGGGGGTGGGGGAGTTGGGGGGGGACATGGGTTTATTTTTTGCTTAGGGCCCCCCAGAGTCTCTAAAATCGTATCTGCTTTTAGTAATATGAACATTTAAATTGCCGGGTGAAAAACGATACTTTTATATTAGAATCCATTTTTTTAAATGAGACCATACTGACCGAAAGAATCGATATTTCAGTATCGGTTCGCGTCTCCCTAATCCTAAATTCACTTCTGCTCGAGGCGCCCCACGTGGAAGCTCGAAGAATGAATTCGGAGTACTGATGCCTGCTTCAACATGCCGCTTCTTGTCACTGAAAGGCGAAGACGTAAAAATAAGGGAATCAAACACCTTCCACAAGCATGTTCTACTCGGGATTGCGGAGTATTTATAACACATTGACAAGGTTCAAGAACATGCATGATTGTAAGGCACGTTTAACGTTATTCACTATGAGAGGAAAGAGCGGCTTTAATTCTATCACCAGGCTGGCGATGGTGATGTAATCTGTAGGCTGTACGACTGAATAACAGAAGCCCATAGAGGACAGTTTCAGAAAGCGGCAAAATCAAGCCATTCAGAAGCCTTTGCTCGTTTCACAATCAAAACGTAAGACTACAAATTATTTTGTTTTCACAGATTGAAACGCTGGAACATACAGCTACCGTCAAATTTCCATCGCTCTTCAAAATTTGTTATGCATTTTTTTTAAGTCGAATGTTTGAAGAAATATATTTTTATTTATTTTACGAGATACGCAAGTGAAATCTATTTACAAGTACCTAACACTAGGCAAGAACATCCACATCTCAGGGCTCAATTCATGCGCCTTTAACTCGTGACTAGTTCTTAAAATTCAACTAAAATACATAATTGAACATTCGTGACCCAGTGCATAAATGCATGTTTTACTTTACATAAAAACGTATAAATATGCTCTTGCGAATGTAATCGTCAAAATAACGTCAGACCCCTCCCCACAGACAAAAGCTTACCCAGTCGTATATACAGCTAAATAGGCTACTAAGAATTTTGTACTTTGGAAATAACGTACTATATACTATGTTGGCAGATATGTATGGCGAAAGGCTGAAAACAAATGCGTAATTGAGAAAGAATATAGGGGGAATTCGGAACACTACTAGTGAGCTACTGAAAATGTTAAAAGATAAAGATGATCATTTAACACTGCGTAAAAGTGACTCACGCATTCCGGGATATGAAGGCGTCTGCAAGCGGCGACTTAATTGTATATTTTACAGAGAAACGTGTTATAAAATGTACAAGTGATCTTTGACTTCGTGTGCATGATTGTTTCATTTTCAAAGCCCGTGATTTTCTCTCCTGTTTCCCCCTTCCCCCCCAATTCCTGCACTTTTCTCTCTTTTTTGAGGAAGTGTCTAAGCAGTGGGTTGGGCGCCTGCCGCCATGGTTCAATATAAATCCGTGGCGACTTCCTCAATCCCACTTTGCGGGTTTGCAAAAGTCAAAGGGACCGTCTCACTGCAGGTAGTCGAAACGTAACTGCTCATTTCTCCCTATATCTTTATAATTAACATTAAGTTAGTTTACAAGTGGAAAAAAGGGCATCTAACTGACGCGTATTTTATACTAGGACGGAGTTTGCTCCCGTCTCGCTCTTACAGCATTAGTTGTGATAACTTTTCCTTCGCCGTTTTCAAGGTTAAAATATCCATTTCCCCCCGCCCAGGTTCCCAAGTTTCACCGGACAGCTTAAGAGCTCTCGCCGACGATGTCCTGGATCGGGTATGTCACGAGCTTGATGGATAGGGGTTACACGGTGGACGCCGCTATCGTGGGTTGCCTGACCGGCCAGGAGTCCGTATGGGCGGCGCACCCCGGTGGAGACTTCGAACGGATCACGGTGAATGCACAATACTGCTATTGTAACTAATGCGATCCGAATGCGGTGAATAAGACATAAAATGTATTATTGCATACTTTTATAACGTGTTTCATTCAATGCAGCCACTTAATCATGACATATATACGAAAACTCAGTGTATGAAAACTGGATATTGGACGGGACTCGAACAAAGGGCGTGTTCCAGGATTTTAAAAAGCAATACCCAGCGTTGAGTTACTTTAAGGCTTTTGGATCTGTTTTGAACATGAGCAGCAATGGGTAAAATCTTAAGATCGCCCCACATTTCACCCAAACTTATGACGCTTTCTCCCAGTTTCTGGAATTGCGAGTGGACAGGCGGGGAGGCCCGAGTTAAAATTGTATGAAACTTTCTAGGATTTAAAACTTGTAATTAATGCATCGCGTTGGCTTGTAATCGACCGCGTGCGATCGTTGTATCTTGGCTCTTCTGCTGTGGAATTTCGATTCGTTTCCACCGACCCGCGTGCTTAATTCCCTTATCGGGATTTGCGCACGCCGCGCTGGAAGCCTTTATTAAGTTATAAGGAAGCGCTCCTACGTGTTTCCACTCGGAAGTCTTCCCATCGCTCCCATTTACTCGGCCAGAAAATAGAAAAAAGCCCTCTGGCATTTTTCTCCAGACCTGTGGACCCCGTGTAGCGCTCTGTCAGGAAGCCAGACGAACGCGGCCGGCTTTTTCCACACGAAGACGGGGATTCGTGGAGTAAAACTTTGAAAGCCGCCTTGCGGGGTTATGCATTTGTGAATCAAATGCGCGTCTGATTATGCGCCCATGTGATCCGCTGTAGTGTGGGCTTTTTGCTCTAATACCCTGCCTGGCTTGGATTCCGTAAAATATCAACTGCAGCGCATCGTGGCTCATCGAGCGCTCGATCCGTGGTAGATTGAATACTTAAAATCTGCGGCAATGGCGACTATTGCACAAGCGTGGAATAGTCAGGAAGCGGGTGCAATGTCATTCTACAGTATTTGGTTAGTCTTGCATGTATTGCATGATATCTTTAGTTGGCACAAATTAAATAGACTTAATTGAACTTCACGCTGCGGTTTGGTTTTATTCTTATTGCTTGAACGGTGTGGTGTGTGTTTGCATGTGCGTTCCTCAGTGAATTTTTTTTTTTCTGGGGTGGGGGACTGGTATTGAATCGTCGAAATAATGATATGACAGAGTTTAAAGTGCTGGTGGGCACCAGGCGGGTGGGAACCCTTCCAGACATTGACCTGCAATGAACTTGGCGAGGGGGGGTGACTTTAAAGGTTGTCTCCAGCCCCCCTGTTCCTTTTGGTGAAATGTGATAGGTGTGCTGACTTGAGTCCCAAACATGGGTGGGTGATCAGTTTTGTAATGGATACCCTACTGGCTGGCACGATTGTACCTTTTTTGGTTGTGTGTTTTTTTTTTTTTTTTAAATGGGGGGGGTTAGGGCTTAAGCATTGGTTATCCAAAAAATGACTCAAATTGCCTCAGAGGGCTGCCTTGTGTTTACAGGTGACCTTTGACCTGATGGCACAATGGCTGTTGTGCTCTGAGAGTTTGCGATCTGACATTCTTTCCGCCCCTCTGAAGTATCGGTGATTAAGGGGGAGGTGGGGTAGGATGTGGGGGGGAATCTGGATGGCTGTTGGTTCATGGTGGATGTGTCAGCTGAGCATGGAAATGGGATTTTACGACCTAGAGCTGACCGGGTTCCAAGGAGCGGCCTGACCGGGTTCCAAGGAGCGGCCTGACCAGGTTCTAAGGAGCGGCCTGCATTTGCATGCATGCGTCTGCACGGTATCCTGTTCTCTAACCTGTCTACAGACTGCAAAAACTGCTGTGGCTTCAAAGCATGGTTGCTGCATTTTTTTTTTCTCTTCCTTGTGGGGGTGGGCTTTGTCCAAGGGCTTGGGGAGTGTAGCAGTTCATTGAACCTCCCCCCCCATGTGTGTATATTCTGTCCTGCTGCTGATAATCTTATGGGCTGCATGACTTTGCACTGCAAAATATTTTTTTCCCCCTCCCTGTTTGTAATGATCCCTAGTCAGAATTTAACCTGAAGCCTTATTTGGAATCTAATTTCCCCTAATGCCCCCCACTCCCTCCCCACCCCACCTTGGCTCACTTCTCTGCCTTCTGCATTTGAAGGCCGCACAAGTGCTAAAGCTTACTTAAGCTCTGAATGTTTTTCCCGTTGCATGTTTCGACCTGCGTGCACCGTTGCTTCGTCTTGTCAAAACTTGTCCGGGTCTAGACTTCATAGTCGCAGCAGTGAGTCTTAATCAGATATTCCAGTAAAATATTCACTAACTTCATGCAAACTCTCACTGTTGACCTGTGGCATTCTGGTTAGGATGATGTGTAATTTTTTTAATTCCCATGGTAGATGCTGTCTGGCTAGTGACTTATCGCTACTTTGCCGTCATTCACGGGTTTTCTCTGGGGCGGGAGGCTAGTGCTCACATTAAACTGACTACACAGCGTGGCCTGTATCTGCAATACTATGTTGTCAGACTGGTTTGACTTGGGTGAAGTTTCCCAGCAGCGTAAATCATAGGGGTTATTTTCCTGCCACCTTTTTTTTTTTTTTAAACCACTGTTTTTCTTCCTTACCAATTGGATTTGGGACAGATACAATTGGATGAAGTTCTCAGTGCAATTTGGCAAAAGTTTTACTTAAAACGAGGCAAGTCCTGTTGACTTCGTATTGCATTAATTTACCTGGAACAAAACTGCTTTTGTGGCCCTTGGGTCACAAGCATGATTTTCCAGAGAAATGTCCTGTTGTGGTTTTAATAAAGGTGGGAGTTTAACACAATGGATGGTGTGGGGGAAAAAATAAGGCATTTAACTTGTATTAACTTGCTAGACTGGGGATCTGATATTTAATTGACTGTCGGGAATGTTTTTTGCTGTCAGGTGTCTCCATGCTGTGAATTTTGGTCTTAGCAGTTAGTGTATCTGCTTGTTTTTAGCTTTTGGGTGCTGTGGCAAAAACCCCTGATTTGCTCTCCTACTGACATATTTCACTCAATGCAGGCTTCTCAACTTCCACCTTAAGCCTTACCCATGCTAGCTAAACGGCTGCCCTCTTTCATGGGTATTGGATCACATGCCGGTCAAACTGCTTCTGGTTTTTTCTTGTCTCTTGTGTGTCGTGGTTTTTCCCAGTCACTACTGCAGGTAAACAAAGTTGAATGTTTGGCATCCTAGTCAATGTGTCACCGTAGTTCTACAGGACATGGCATGGTGTGCCACCAGTGTGTGTTGGGACACGCCCCTATCCAATGTGGGTGGTCTTTCTCTCAGATCCTAAGTTCCAGAAATGGTACGGTGCGTTCTAAAATGCCACAGGAACTATGAGGAAGGCTCGGGGTAAAACACTCATTTTCGTAGGATTCCTTGTTAAATGAGGAACCACATATCAATGGATTGTTGGATTTCCCCCTTTTTTTTCCGGTGCACTCCTTCCTGTAGAGACTGTTGCCAGATTTGAACATGCCTTTTTGTGTCCTGTGCTTGCATGCCGTTTTAGCAACCATTTCAGATGGCCTCCACAATGCTGCCACTTAGGTTTGCCTTTGCAGCATTCTTATTGCATGACAGAGTGAAATGCTAGCTATGGTTGTGAATTTGGGTGGCGGGAATTTATGATTTGCAATGCAGGCCAAATCAGTCCCCCATCTGGTTGAATTTAGGCAGCGGCCAACGGTTCACGAACGAGTCCTCTTGCCATGGGTATTCCTCACCCCTGCTGCAAAGCCTGGCCTCTTGCTTACAAACTCACAAAAGATCCTTGATTTCCACTCCTGGCAGTAGTTTGGAATTGAACCTGATAACCAGAAAAGGTTGATTTGCATGCTTGCCTCCCAAGCTGGTATGTTTTTAGTCTTGTGAGTTCCAACACGTGAAACATTAGCCTTTTATTAAATGGCATCTTTCTAGAAATATACCACATGATGGTACTTGACCAAGTAGGAGTTCACCTGGAATGTCTAGAAGGTGCAGGGGTGGATTGTGACACGTCAACATAGGGGTAGGACAGTTGTACTCCCGCCGTTACTGTGCCTGTCGTAGGGTGTGCTCCTAGCACTTCCTTGGTCGCCTTTAACCTAATATAAAGTTCTCCACAATGCAGGAGGACCCTACCCTTGTAGATTCTCAAGCATTCAACCATCACATAGAGGTCTTAAGTTGAATTAACTGTTCCCCAGGGATGCTTGTAGTCTGTAGAGAACTCTCCTTGCAATTTTGGATTCCCCCCCCCCTTTTCTTTCCTTTTGAGGTCTGCTGTCTTGACATGAGTTTCTTTTGCACCCCCCAGCCACATGAAATCCAGCGGCTGTTGATAAAGGACCGCGGCGAGCTGTTCAGTAATGGGTTGACGCTGGCGAACACCAAATGCACGGTACTCCGCGACAGGCTAAACGAGGATGGTGTGTTCACCATGGACTTGCGCACCAAGGGGACCGAGCTGCAGCCGGACACCTTCAACATCTGCGTGGGGAAATCTGGCCAAGGTTTCTCACCCCCCCTCAGCTCTATTCTTATACAATGATCACCAATACCTATGTTACATAAATTTTGCTATTGAAAGTCTGTTGTTCACTGGCTAACCATGTCACCATGTCCCCCCCCCCGCCCCAGCTTTGGTCCTCGTTAAAGGGAAGAAGGATGTACATGGAGGGAAACTGAATCCCATGGTGGATGACATGGCTGCATACCTGAGGAAGGCTAACCTCTGATTCCACATCCACTGACTGGCAGTCCTTTTTTTGTGGATTTGGACTCCATTGGCTTCCATTAAAGAAAAGCCACT